CTTCTTAAGAAGAGGCTAGGCAATAATAGAAGACGTGCAGACCAGCATGTACACTAGCACCACCAGTATTCAGACTTTGTGATAGTAAACACAAAGTGTGCATCACGGCTTGTCTGAGTAAAGCAGAAATCCAGAGAAGATGCTGTCATCCTCACTGCTGGCATACGCTCCATTCCAGTCTCTGAGCGTCTCCATCCACAATCATTCCTCAGCACCTGATTGAAAAACTAGGCCGGCTGCGCCTGAACACCTCCCTCTGCAACTGGATCCTGGACTTTCTGACAGAGAGACCTCAGACAGTCCGGATCAGTAACAGCACCTCCAACACCACCACACTGAGCACTGGAGCCCCTCAGGGATGTGTGCTCAGCCCACTGCTGTTCACTCTGTTGTGGGCAGAGGGGGACAAATTTTGTCTGGGATAACTACCTTGGCACAACACCTGGTTTGGCAGCATGTGGCGAGGCTCCAAATGCTTTCAGTGTGAACTCCAGACCGCTGACAGGTCTCACACTCAACAGCCGCTTTATCAGATGACGCATAATGTTCCGACGTGCTAAGGTCACTACATGGGTTACTCCATGTCTCAAGTTTTTTGAGGTGCTTTTGTGATATTTAATGGATCGGATTACTTTTTTTTTTTTCTCCCCGATATACGATCTAGTAATTTAGGTCAGGGTCAGACCGATATCGATACTGTATATCGGCTCGGTCCATCCCTAGGTTTTACTGTCATTGTTTCTAAAGAACCGGTGCGTAAAAACCATCTGTCCATCCGTCCGTCCTTTCAAAACACTGCAAATTGTCACGTTTATGAATAAGTGGATTGGGTGAAATGTATATATGTATGTATATATGTATGTATATATGTATGTATGTATAATGTCACAAAAGTCAAATCATCCCAAACTGGTTTCTAGAACCTGACATTAAGTACTTTTCAAGAAATCTGCAGCAACTGTGTGTCTGTCTGTGGCTGTCTTGTCAACATGGACCAAAATATCTGAGAAATGTTTCCAGCACCTTGTTGGATCAATGACATGAAGAATAAGGACAATTCTGAAGGCAAAAGGAGATCCAACCCAGATTACCAGTATAGTCTTCTGCTGTTGTAGACCATCTGCTTCGAGGTTTGATGTGTTGTGAACTCAGAGAAACTCTTCTGCATACCTTGGTTGTTACAAGTGGTTATTTCGCACATGTGGTACTCATAATCATGCCATGCTTAAAGTCACTTAATCGTTTTTTCCCCATTCTGATGCTCAGCTTGAAGTTCAGCAGGTTGTCTTGACTATGTTTGCATACCTAAATAATAAAGTGGCCAATGAGTAAATAGCATAATAAAATATTCCTTTCTTATAAAGTCATTTTAAAGTGCATACCGTTTTCTCCCTTTAAGCCCATAGCCCACTGATGCAAGGTGGCCCAGCTAAACCAGCTCGTCCTGCATGGCCTTTTTCTCCAAATGCCTCTGTGTAAAATAAGTGTGAGTGGAAAATCTGTCAGGCCTCTGTGGACCGTGATCTGAGGGCCGGGTTTCTTGGTGTACAAGTACTTTGGCTTCGGAGTACACTTAGCTTTCAGTGTAGTACACCACAATGAGAGCAACCGCAACTACATCCAGTCAACTGACCGACCGACAGAGTTTATAATGAAACAGTTCGAGAGGCCAACCGCGGGGCCAGCGGCAATGGAGCAGATCAGGAGGCCGACTGCGGGGCCAGCGGCAGCAACTGTGGCAAAGCAGGTCCGGAGACCGACCATGGGGAAAGTGGCGATGGCAAAGCGGGCACAGGCGATGACCCTCGGGCGGCTTGGCACGCTGGACGTGGCTTGGCAGGGGCAGGCCTGACAGTGGCTAGTCTAAACAAAGCATTGACCTCAGCCTGAGGCATGGCGGGACCAGGCGAGGTGGGACCAGGTGTGGCAGGACCAGGCATGGGCGTAGAAATGGCAGAAATGGTGGAGCCAGTGGTGAAGCGGTAGCTTCAGATGGAAGAGCTGCAGGTGACGGTGTGGATGCCACGGCCGGTTGAGCAGATGACGGCATGGCAGATGCAGGCAGTTGAGCTGGTGGCGTAGCAGCTGCAGGTGGTTTTGTAGGTGGTAGCGTGACAGGATGCAGGACATGCTGGGCTACGACTCCAGCTGATGTGGGAAACCCAGCTGGAGTCGGTGATGGCTGTATGGATTCAGCTGATGGAGCAGGATGCTGGGCAGGCTTAGCTGAGCCTCCAGCTGTCACAGCAAACTGATGGCTGGGTTCTCCTGAGCCACCTCTTTCCTATCGGTGGACGAATGTACCATGTCGACCAATTAAAAAAAACAGTCAACACGTGGGATTTGGTTGTTTAGGAAGAGGGAAAAGTTTTAGGAGTGACGGTAACGGCAGCGAGACAGAGCGAGCGAGTGAGAGAGAGAGTTTTTAGATGTGGGAGATTTGTGACGTTTAGTGTGGAGTGTATACTTAGTGTGTTGGGTTGTCTTGTGTAGTTGTTCTGTTGTGTAGTCGTTTTGTTTTGTGTGTCAGTGAGGGCACTAATGAATGTCACAAAGGCACATTGCAGTGTAAACACTGTCACTAAGTAGAAAACCAGCGGAGTGATACACCTGTTGTCAGGCCTGCAGATTTATCCATGCTGCTCTCCTGTCTTTTGGTGGACAAAGTTTTTTTTTACTGGCACACATCATTTGTGGGGCATCTTATTGCGACACCTAATTGTTCTCTCATTTTAGTTTTAGTAATATTTTTAAATGGTTGTACAAAATGAAGAAAAAAAACAGCAGATGTATTGGCTGCATTTTTAGATAAATAGTTGTATACGTTTACAAAATGTACAATTTATATTTGCATTTCAAGTTATAAACATTTACTGTTTTGTTTTTTTTACAGAAAAAAAATACTACTAGGATTTTAAGTTCTTTGTGTGATTTCAGATCAGTAATACTAATGCAGTATGTCAGTGAAAGAACAACTAAATTCAGTTGAGCTGAAAAGAATGACACCAAACAAGGCAAGGGGGAAAAAATAAAATGAAACAATTTGAGGGTGAAATACAAACATAAACTCAAAAGGAGTCAAAAACGGCTGTTGTATTACAGACCTCTGTGGGTTGATCCAAATCATGAAAAATTAGGTTTACATTTTTGTTCATGACAGTGCAGATTTCTGACATTTTGTGTAATTTAAGCATCTAACAATGTGATTGTTTTCTAACAAAAAACAGTGTGAAACTTAAGTTAGACTTGTGTTTGTAAATGAACCGCCCCATGTTGTGTAGCTTTCTG